CGCACAGATTGTATCAAGGTAGAACTACACCGTCTTAACAAAGTGTATGTCCAGACTGTTCTTTGGAACGGCACTTGTCGTGAAATCTGGAGGATGCTGAAGACGCTTGGCTGAGTTACTCGACGTTCGCCCTTCTTTGATGTAGACGTAGTAAATGGAATCAGGAGTTCTGCAAGTGTAATGCTACTACAGCTCCAGAGTATTCCTGTGCCAAAGTGCCAGGGTCTGCTGAACTATTGCCTCCCCTTGACAGTGCAACTGTGAATAATTAACTAAAACACCTACATTCTGGTAAAGCTAGTGGGCCGAATATGCTATCTCCTATCTTACTCAAAGAAGGTGCTGATTGTTTGGCAACACCTCTTGCGAGTATTTAGGCAATGTGTATGCAGCAACACAAAATAGCCGACTGTTGGTGAAGTGTCAACTTTCTACCAGTGCCGACAAAAGGATACAACAGATATCGACCTATAGCGTGCACTTCCGTTGCTTTGAATGTTCTGGAGAAAGTCATTCTCGAAATGAAGCCGTCCAGAACGCGCTCTAATAAATCCCTTCAGTTCGCCTATTGTAGTTCGAAGTCTACCCTAGATGCTGTGACCTACGTCGTACATTCCGTACTGTCGTCGCTCGACCATAGGAGTAAAACAACTCGGGTGTGTTTTCGTGACTACAGCTATGTATGTGGCTGTGTAAACCGCGAAGTACTGCTAGAAGACCTAATTAGTCAGGGAGTACATCCTCCATTATCTATTTACTGACTGATTATTTTGCTGAACGCACTTAGGTCACCCGGATCAGTGGCAGATGTTCCCACTACTCACCAACGCAGGTGTCCTTCGGGGAAAAGTTCTATCGCCTTTACTCTTTTCTACTTATATCAGCTTCAACTGAAGCGAATCTGATAGAATATGCGCACGATATCGTCCTGGGCATCAGTCACCAAAGGGCTGATTGTTCATTCAGAATAGAAGCGCTTCTGAAAGATCTTAACGGCTGGTACAAATCTCGTGATCTGTCTCTTAATGCTTCAAAGTGCCATGACATTCTTTTTTCCTTACACAAAGGAGCCAGGTACGAAGAGCTCCTTACGCTGTGCAACAAGTTATATGTTGATGGCGACGGATTACAGTCTTCCACATCAGTAATGTAGCAAAATTTTACGTTGAGTTCCAATGCATCTTAGACGCTTCCAGTAAATGAAACTTTTACAAAATTCAGAAGGCTCTCATTCTATGCCTGTCTGCCCAGAGTCTCCTGCGCACCTCCTGAGTTGATCGTTCGCTTTGTCCATGCCTGTGTTCTCCTCTAATGGAGGTACTGTACCCTCGTGATCTTTTCCGGTATTTTGGCCAAACATTATAAATTATTTTTCAGATCATTAAAGTAATTACCTCGATGCAGCGGTGTTCCGATAGCTCCTTTTACCAACACTTATGTCTACACACATTAGTTCTTGTAAAATGCAGGCCTCTAACATACTGACCGATACAAGTCATCCCCTACATACTGCCTTATCTGCATGTTTATCAAGTTTATCTATTAGGCAGAAGTACAAGCTAATCTATGCCCGCACACAACCTTATCGCTCGTCAGTCATACCTTACCTCGCTTCTTTTAAGAGACCCCAACTCTGTCATCCTTAACTTAACCAGTCGACTTCCAAATTGATTGTGTTGTTTGTCCTTATCTACCCGTTTGTTTTTGTCTTATTTCTTTTCCACTGATTTGTTTTTTGGCACATTGTCGATATTGTGTGTGCTGTAGCTGAATATTCACCCACGCAGAGTGAATAAAGTAATTTCTTAAATGGACTTGAAGCGGTATGGACATTTGCATATTATAGGTTTATTGTTATATATACATATATATATGGTATATCGATTCTTGCTCTGTAAAATATGGGCTGATGACTGGTATCCATCACCCGTTAGAGTACGCTGGTTAAAAGGCAACCCAATCCTAGTCCTTTCAAAAAACGCTCAGGACATTTCACTACCAGACTGTAACTAGAATCCCATGCGGTAGGCCGGAGTCCGTGCAAACGTCATAGAGAAAATTGTGCTCCAGGATGCCGAAACCACGTTGATACTTAGGCGCTCGTCAGTAAAACGCCTCTCCAAAGTTATGTTGATTGGGTCTAACTACATAATAACATCGTACCGAATGCTTTATATTTAGTCGCTGCTCTCACCAGCATGTCTTGCGCACACTCTTTCTCGCTTTTCCAACCGCATTAGGCAAAATGTAGGGGTTCCTAATATTTGCTTTTCACTGTATCCCCTCTCCACCCACTGGGTGCACCAGGCCTTCCCACTGAGTATTTTTCACCGATGCAACGGCAAATAGATCCGATGTATTGGCTGAACCAATTCACTGGTCGAATAAGTGACTGGACCTGCATGAAGAGAATATCCCTCGCATGTTTCCGAGCCTTTCTTCTGCTTTTCTCCCAGCTGAAACGACATCACACTGCAAGCTTGTTCCGGAGGTGGAAAAATCAGCATTCGAACACCTTCACTCACGACTGCCGAAAGAGGTATATGAGATCAAAGTTAAACGTAGCAGCCGTATATTCGCATCCCATCCTTAAATCTTGGCAATGGGACAAAAGTCCCGTCAACTACACCTCAAGTGTTATCATAATTTTTGAGTTCATAAGTCCTGCAACTTTATTCCCTTCACACATCAATTGGAAGTTATGATAGGCCTGACGCAAGTGCGCCGGAACTTCTCTAATAACACATGGTCCTTTATTTTTCCCCGAGTGCTCCCATGTAACAAAATCGGTCTTATTGAGAATAGCCTTATCTCCGTTTAAGTCAAGGTTTAGCTCAGTGTCAGGTACAGATAAGCACTTCATATGGAGATGTGATGGAAGGAAGCGGAAAGGGTGGACTCCTGCAACGCATGTCCTAGACACGCCCCATCCAACCATCTTCTTGCACCGCGCAGTGGCTGTGTTCAACCTCAACGTTCCTCGCTTCCCCAGTGGCCTTCAGTCAGTGTATTAAGTGTGGCATCTGACCACATGTAAAATGAGCATATGAGAATGGGACATTACATTGTAGGGTCACGGAATCGAAATATACGACGTTATAGAGTAATCTCCGACTCTGTAAGTCAGATTGGAAAGACCTATATATAAAATTTCTTGTCACGTTCTGATGAAAATCTTCCTGGCACATACGGAAGCATCAATCCAGTCGGAATAAAGTTTCAAGGCCAGTAAGATGGAAAGCGTTTGGGCTTATCGCAGGCATGTGGGGCACATTATCAGTAACATAGGACTACTAACTTTTGTAAGCGTCGTGTTGTGAAACGATAACATTTAAGCCTATATTAAAGGATCTCATTGCACTGTCCTTTGGCCTGTCGTGCTTAGAACCCGGATTAAATACGCGGAAAAACATGTACAGTCCATAAACTGGGCTAATGCAGCAGATGTTCGTGCTTCGGTAGAAAACAAGGAAAATGTGTCAGGAAATAAGTAAATGAAGCTGCGAGGGCTGACTTGAAAAGATAGCATCTGTCTTTGTCTGCCAGTACTCAGTATAGGATGTGAGCTGGCCTAGACAATTCCAGCCAACGAGAGCAACACTTTCGCATGGTCATGCACGTTTGTGATATACCGAATATAATCGGCTGAAGTATGGGCACAATGCGGATAGCGAATCCTCAAAGTACAGCTAGCAGCAGAGATTTGCAAAACGAGAGACTTGTGCTGCAGAATCAAAATATGGCTAATAATTTACTTCCGTGATGATTGGCTGGTGTCGCTGGAGCACTGTTTAACGTCAGTCACCAGGATGACTCAGAAGATCCCTAAAATCCCATATATGTCAGTTGCAACCTGTGACCAATACATAAGAAACAAGTTTCCTTCCAGGCGTATTTGAATGTGTGATGCCAAAATACCGCATTGGTTGTGGATTAGTTGGCCAAGTGCTGGCTGTAAGTTCAACTAGTTTAAGTTTAATCCGGTCAAACACATGGATCTGACCCAATTCACTGCTTCGCTACAGCGACTATCACATTTCAATTGAGCACCAATAAATTAGGCTTATTCAGTAAAGATGCTTGACGGTTTGGGGATCAGTAAGGGATTCACTCGGATAAAAATATTGCTCGCCATTTGCAATGGGCCAGTGATGTAGAGAACGAGTGACAAGGGTAGCCAGCTTACTTACGGCGCTACTGCATGGCAATACTGCCGCGTATTGTCTTCTTACCAGAAGATGCAACGTGAGCCGAGCTCAGCAGGTACGAAGTAAGTCGTGCCCGTCGACTCAGTCGTCGACAGACGGTTTCAAAGACAAGCTCCATTCCTCCTACGACACTAAGCTTGACAAGTGACTCAGGTTATTGCCATTATTTGCCCCGGTCCACTGACATTGTTGATTATGCGGTATTGGGTTACGTGTTGGGGGTGGAAGTTCTTGTGAAATGTTAAGCTACCTGTGTCTACTGAAAGGTAGTGCACTAGCTCCACCGAAACCGAATCGAACAACTACGTCATGTTTATCGATGGCAGTTCAGTAAGTAATGCGATTAGAGACGGTACTGTATTCACAAGTCCACGGTAGAACTGCATTTTAAGGGCTCCATAACTATACACTTTGTTCGCTTACCCTAGCCGCGGTGCCTTCTCCCTCGACCACGCAGTCACATAAACTTAGGTGCTAGCGATTTGGGGTGGGGAAACCTAAGAGAAAAGCATGATCCTCCGAACAGTTACACTACATACATGCAATGAACATATGCAACGACCTAAGAGCTATCTTGTAAGAAAGCTCTTCCATGGATAGTAGAACTCCTGTCGATCAAAATAATGTCAGCAATTACAAGTAATTATCAACTGGGTCGAGAGGGCTTCATAAGGTGTGTTGTAATAAGTAGTTTCGAAGTTCGTATACTCTCCAGTTACCAGAAAGGATGACAATTAGTTAAATGATCGCAAAACATCACCGTTGCTACAAAGGAAACCAGTATGAGCTCACCAGTGCTGGTAGATTCAGAACGGCGAAGTTGTAGCCAATGAGAAACGAGGATCCGAGGCTCGTCATCATGGCGGTCAGTACGAGACTCCACGTCGGTCCATGTCTCTACAACAAGAACGCTGATGTTGACCATAGGGTATATTTTGGTTAGCATCGATAACGGATTCGGAAGTTAACAGGCTAACTGCGGCCAGTGAGTTCTTTGACAACCACCGCCGTTTTCATCTTGTAAGTCGGTTATGCACACTTTACAGAGCAACGAGAACCGAAAAACTGTGCACATTTACACCTGTGTACTTACCATGTTTCCGTGACCTGGTCGAAGTGTGTGTCGAATGGATAAGTTCGCAATCACCAGCGTCCCATAATGAAGTAGTGTTCTCAAGTGCCCACTGAGAAAACTGGCCCATACAATTTCTTTGTTTACAAGGGTGCAAAACTACTAGGGTCTTTTTTACAGTGGTGAAAACATGGCTATTCATATGCGCCCACAAACGAGTGTGAGCACACAAAAACCCAAAAGCATCGATCGTGAGGCCTACACCGTGACCTATTTTCCAGCGCGATAATTGACTGGTGTTGTGAAGGTCATCGCTCACCATGGGCTTTGTGCACACTTTACTACTGTGGCAATCTATACTTGTTAGAACCTCACTGCATGAAATTATCTGCAAGTGATTGGTGGTTGTGTGCGAGTGAAGCTCACCTCAACCCACGTGACCAGTTGAGTACGATGGCTCTAGTTGGGAGTGTCTTTAAGACCTTGGGTGACAAAATTGCACCTGGTGCTTCTCCCGACCTTACCATAGAATCTATGGCGTCCAAACTCTGACGCGCGAGCCAAATACGGATCGCATTAACATTTCAATTGGCCCGCGGCCTCACCACAAAATAATAAATTCAAGTATACAAATTTTCGAACATGTGTAATTTTTGTTATTATAATGTCAGACTGAATATGGCCCGACATATTTTTCACAAAATGTGGCCCTCCCTACAAAAGTTTGGATACACCTGCCATAGATCATAGAATACCGGCTAAGAAAGGCTAGGCTAGCCATGCATTTGATGGCCCTTGCAGTTGCTATCAGAGGCCATTGTGAAGCCAACGGGTTCCCGAGTGCTCGAAGCCAGTCAAATTCTCATATAGGTATTTGCTACCCGCTGTATTTAAACCTTGGATCTGGGTCGGATAACACGCAAGGAAAGGATTGTGATCCCATGTTGGTGCAAGTGCCAACTGTCAGATGACACCAAGGCCTTCACCATCCATTGAAAATGCATGCCCCACAGGCAACTATTCTTTTTCGTTATCCCTGTGTATAGTTTCTTCGAAGCTTATGTGTCGCCTCCGTACGTGCTTCTGATGTCAGTTAGTCTGGCCTCCTTGGATTAAAAGAGCGTCAAATAGCGAAAGAAATAAACCAATGGGTGTCCACTGGGTTGGAGCCTTCACACAAGACCAAAGTTCTTTACTACCTGGAAGTCAAAAGTATTCCCACTCCTTCCAGTGTTTCACTATAGCGGTGCTAAACATCCTGGTATAAGGCGGAGGTGACTGTTGATATCCCAGCTCTTAAACCAAATTGCTCAGAATTCGAAATACCAGATGACTGCGTCAGAATCGCGCATCTGTGCACACGTTGTTTTGCCGCCGTTCTCAATTGTATTTTGTCACTCAAACATGAGTTCCCATACACTCGACCCAGCTTCATCAGCGCTATCTAGTGCACTCCAGCTTTCGGATCCGGCTTGTATGGATCGGCTTTGACCTCCGCACTGCGGTTTTTGAGCCATTCCCGCAAAAAACACAATCGAGGAATTTTCCGTATCACTATCCGCACAGCAATCTTCGTGGTCACAATAGAAAGCTAACTCCACGTTTCATCTAACGAAGCAGCAACCACAGCTGTGAACTGATTATCAAAGTAGCTATAGTGCACTTTGAGTCCGTATCGCGCAGTCGCTCTGTTTTCCGTTTGAACCATCTAGCCGCTTTAATCTGAAGCACCTAGACCAGACGTAGAGAATGTGACGAACTTGAACCTGTAAACTATTCAACGCACTCGCGACCGGCAGGAAACCATAAGCGCTCGGGCCTCTATGATAATACCATTGATCGATGCAATGGATTGTGGTGACCAATCAGAAGCACATGTTACCGCATCCAGATCGACAGTAGTTGGTGGCCTTTCTTCGTGCCACAAAGACCTACGGATGGGAATCCAGTGTAGCATTTGCCAAGGTAAGTTCTATCGCAAATGTTCCAAGCTCACAGTGAACCAGTTGAAGCTACACAATAGTGAACCAAATTCACTATTCTTCTGTTCACTATGTATAGCCATCCCACTGATAAAGATTGTACGTGAACTATCGCAGAAGTACGAAAGACTGGTAGTAATGATTGAACAAATGAGCAGCACCAAAAGCGGTTCATTTAAAGAAAGCATGACAGAGGGTTTTTCCCAGTCATTCCCGTCAGGTACCGTATTAAATCTGAGGAAGAAGGCTAGGCAGCGCGCCAAAAATGCATCATCTGTGGCAGTAAACGCCAATACCACAAGCTTCTCAAATATGCCTGAAACAACCACGGCCAGTCCGGTTGCAATGAGCACGGTCAGGGCCTCGTCCACCTCCCAAACGGTTCCGAAAAAGCAGGACTTCGCCACCAGTGGTGCTTGGAACTTGATTGTTGCTAACGGTTATCGAAAACCTAGATTTTCGGCCACTGCCACCGGACCCATGGTAAATAAATAAGACGAAACTGTGCCCAAACAGCCTCCTTCGACTGTATACAGACCAGCTGATCGGTTGACCTCAACCAGAGTTGCACGAGTATACCAGCGGTAAACTGTACCAACATTCCAGAATCGACGTCCGATTCCTGTAAAGGAAAACAACTAGATGACCTGAACCAGTGGAACTCTATATGTGACACTATAGAAGTTGTAACGTATTATCCGTCACTCAAACTCACGGCACTACCGTGAACCAAGATTTATCTGAGTTGCTTTGACTTCCGCCCAAGGATTTAGAAGTTATCCCGTTATCGACAGCTTGCCTCGGGAAAGAGTCATGTTCCATCCGTCTATTCCTGGATATTTCGCGGAGGGAACGCAGATAAGTTAAGCACTACTTGGACGAACACCGGAAGGAAGGAGTATATTTGTACACGCTGTTCCCGAGACTGGCAGCCATGATGAGCACGAAGCGACTACCCAGGACCAGGAATAATGGCGGTAAATTCGCGAGACCCTCTCCTTGAAAAACGTCATAGCGCGATCAAGCTGGAGGCTGTGCCGATCGTCAAACTACAAGGGATGTGGCGCAAGGGTTGTGAAAGTGGTCCTTCAATCTAGATAAATGTCAATAATGGTAGTAGAGGGATGGAATGTGGGCTGCAGCAACATTCCTTCCTAGCTCCTGATCAAAACTGCATCTGCTAATCAAACACACGAGGGCAGCCACTTAGGCAGATCACTTACTGATAAGAGTTCGGATCACTTCAGTCTACTAGCCAACAAAACTGGCAAACACATACATTAGATAAGAAATGAAGAGCAAATAGTTAATGGTGGGAACCATGAATCCGATACAGATGGGTTCGTCACCTTCCACGCCCAAAAAGGATTAGTTGCCGACCTTTCACCGGTCGGAACAACATTTTATCCAAAACACGTATCCCACGAGTCATTACTAAAAGCAGAGAAACTTTCCTGCGTGTACTCTAACGCATAAAGTCTCCTAAACAAGCTTGCCCAACTGCGGCTACGTTAAGCGTCACATGTCTTGGACCTCATATTCGTCAGGAAAACTTGGTTGCACTCAGAAAATTACCGACGCTGAAGTCGCGATAAATGGTAGGTCCCTTCTCCGAAACGATCGCGCTAGCAAGGGCGGGGGTACTGTTATACTACCGTAACTACCTGCAGTGAGAGCCGGTAGCGGATCTGGAAACGCTGATCATAGACTCACTATGGTACAGTCTGCTACTCAGTGACAACGACACTTGCCTTTTGGCCGTTGTTTATCGTTGCCCAATGTCCACCCTGAGATGGACTCCTTCCTGGAATTATCCTTGGGAAGGGTTCTACCAGGACGATACCGTCATGTTTTCACCTCAGGCGGCCTCAATATTCATGATTTGGAAGTTTCGGAACTCCCCAACGAGCAGTTAAAAACCAAGCTGTAAAAGTGTATTGCAAGCATTCCGCTGTTCAGTCATGTCAGTTCACCCACCCGATTCAGAGCCAAAAATAAACCATCTATGCTTGATTTAGTGCTCACGAACGAAGAGCTCATGGTTAAGAAACCAAGGCTAGAGAGCCCTCTGGGGCAGAGCGACCACGTAACCATAATTTACGACATCGTGTGTTACTCGGAATATCCACAGGAACATAATAGCTTGTTTCGAACAATCACCCACTACGACATTCTGGCAGAACTTGTGAGAGATGTCAACTGGGAGTTTGCGGACGACTGTTCCATTGACAGTACTTGGACGGATTTTACTGACAAGTTCAGTGATCTGATTAAATCTGTATCATTCACCAAGCGCATTCGTACTACAAGAACGCCACCATACATTCGGAGCAGAACCCGAATACACATGACAGTAAGAGACGCCGCGTGGCATGTGTATAGAGCGAACCCAAGACCTGACAACTGGAGTAACTATCTTGTGCATCATAATCCCAGTGCCGCACTTGTGTGCGAGGAAAATTGGTACACCAGCAGGGTTTAGCGGAAAAGTTTTGTGCTAACAAAGAGCTTCTGTACAGACACGTGAACAACCTCCGGAATGTGGAGCATGATGTTCTCCCATTACCATCAGCGGATTGATGTGCTGAAACCGCCGGGAATGCAACCAAAGTTCTACAGCTACCATACGCCTCAATTTTCCGACGTAATGCCATCATTTGTAACATACCTGTCTCATTCTCCCAGATGCCAGCGTTTACACCCGTCATCTGCAATTCTGCGAGCATTTTGAGGAAACTGTTGTCATTGCGTACCCATAGTTCCACCGGAGTTGACAACATTCCCCCAAAACCGCTGCAGGTTGCAGCTAGGAGAATAGCTGAGCTATTAGTGAGTCTTTTCAAAAGATGCTTGAACGAACACCCGGTCCCTAGGATGTGGAAGCAAGGCATCACAACCCCAATTTTCAAAAGCGATAGCCGTTCAGAACCAGCTAACTATCACCCAAGGATTCTACTTCCGGTGCTCTCAACGGTGATGGAATCGATCATAGCTGAGGCTGTAATGGGCTACTTCGTAAGGTCTAACATCATAGCACCGGTACAACACGGACTTCGTCAGCATAGGTCATGTAGTACCAACCTACTGATTGTTCGTGTCAACTGGACAGAGATAGCCGACAATGGGACCGGCATTAATGTCAGCTTCCTGGACTTTTCCAAAGCATTCGACCACATAGATCACCGAGTCCTTCTTCAACAGCTACAAACATACGGATTGGGATCCCTGTCCTTGGATGGATCAAAAACTTCCTCTTTCAGTGGCGCCTTCAGGTTCGAGTTCGAAATTCATTTGCTGATCCAAT